CAGTGATTTATCAGCATCACATCAGTGATTTATTTATCAGCATCACATCAGTGATTTATCAGCAAACACCAGTGATTTATCAGCATCACATCAGTGATTTATCAGCATCACATCAGTGATTTATCAGCAAACAGTGATTTATCAGCAAACATCAGTGATTTATCAGCATCACATCAGTGATTTATCAGCAAACACCAGTGATTTATCAGCATCACATCAATGATTTATCAGCAAACATCAGTGATTTATCAGCATCACATCAGTGATTTATCAGCAAACATCAGTGATTTATCAGCATCACATCAGTGATTTATTTATCAGCATCACATCAGTGATTTATTTATCAGCAAACATCAGTGATTTATCAGCATCACATCAGTGATTTATTTATCAGCATCACATCAGTGATTTATCAGTATCACATCAGTGATTTATCAGCATCACATCAGTGATTTATCAGCAAACACCAGTGATTTATCAGCATCACTTCAGTGATTTATCAGCAAACATCAGTGATTTATCAGCAAACACCAGTGATTTATCAGCATCACATCAGTGATTTATCAGCATCACATCAGTGATTTATCAGCATCACATCAGTGATTTATCAGCATCACATCAGTGATTTATTTATCAGCATCACATCAGTGATTTATCAGCAAACACCAGTGATTTATCAGCATCACATCAGTGATTTATCAGCAAACATCAGTGATTTATCAGCATCACATCAGTGATTTATTTATCAGCATCACATCAGTGATTTTTCAGCATCACATCAGTGATTTATCAGCAAACATCAGTGATCAGTGATCAGTGAAATATTCAAGATGGCTGCCGTGTGCAGACGTGCAGATGGACACTGCACCTCACGGGAGCTTTAAAATCAAACTATTCAATAAAAAAAAAATAAAAAAATCATAAAAGTCAATAAAGGAGTGTCGAGTTTAGTCCAAGGAGCTGGATCTGCTGTCTGTGATGAGCAGCTACAACCAGGCCCAGGAGCAGCTACAACCAGGCCCAGGAG